ACCAACCTGGGCAATAAAGGGAGACCTTTCTTCTACAAAAAAAAATTTAAATAGCCAGGCACGGTGGCATGTGCTTGGAGGATCACTTGAGCCCAAGAGGTCAAGGCTTTTTTTTTTTTTTGAGAAATGGAACTATTTCATCATTGAAGAGAAAAATGTAAAGTTGTCTTTATCTCCAGATGATATGCTTATATAGGAAATCTGATGAAATCTATAAAAACGTTTTCTAGAATTAATAAATGAGAGCAAGGTCATAGGATACAAGTTCAATATACAAAAACCAATTGTATTTCTATGTACTGGCAACAACAAACCAAAGATTGAAATAAAAATACCATTTACGGCCGGGCGCGGTGGCTCAAGCCTGTAATCCCAGCACTTTGGGAGGCCAAGGCGGGTGGATCACGAGGTCAAGAGATAGAGACCATCCTGGTCAACATGGTGAAACCCTGTCTCTACTAAAAATACAAAAATTAGCTGGGCATGGTGGTGCGTGCCTGTAATCCCAGCTACTTGGGAGGCTGAGGCAGGAGAATTGCCTGAACCCAGGAGGCGGAGGTTGCGGTGAGCCAAGATTGTGCCATTGCACTCCAGCCTGGGTAACAAGAGTGAAACTCCGTCTCAAAAAAAAAAAAAAAAAATACCATTTACAACAGTATCAAAACCATGAAATACTTAGGGATAAATCTGACAAAAGATGTCTAAAACCTGTATACTGGTCTGGGCAAGGTGGCTTGCACCTGTAGTCCTAGCAACTCATGAGGTGGGAGGATTGCTTTGAGTCCAGGAGTTCAAGGTTGCAGTGAGCTATGACTGTGCTACTGCACTCCAGTTTGGGCAATACAGAGAAACTCCCTCTCTATAAAACACCCACTCATATACTGAAAACTATAAAATATTGCTGAGAGAAATTAAAGAAAACCTAAATAAGTGGAGAGTGTGATACCTTATATATAAGTTAGAAGACGCAATTTTGTTAAAATGTCAATTCTCCTCAAATTCATGTACAAATTAAACACAATCCCTATGACAATCCCAGGTGGCTTCTTTTTTTTCCCTTCAGAAATTAAGAAGCTTTTTTTTTTTTTTTTTTTTCCCCCTGATACAGAGTCTCACTCTGTCACCCAGGCTGGAGTACATTGGCAAGATCTCAGCTCACTGCCACCTCCGCCTTCTGAGTTCAAGCAATTCTCCTGCCTTGGCATCCCAAATAGCTAGGATTACAGGCATGTGCCACCACACCCAGCTAATTTTTTTGGTATTTTTAGTAGAGACAGGGTTTCACCATATTGGCCAGGCTGGTCTTGAACTCCTGACCTTGCGATCCGTTTGCCTCGGCCTCCCAAAGTGCTGGGATTATAGGCATGAGCCACTGTGCCCAGCCAAAAAGCTATTTTTACAACTCCTAATTGGAGGACTAACACTACCTAATTTCAAACTTAACGCAAACCACAATCATCAAAACAGTGTAGTATTTGGTATAAAAATAAACAAATAGATCAATGAAACCAAATAGGGAAGTCCTAAATTAGATGCAGACATATATGGAGAACTTATTTCTGACACGGGCATGAAGACAATTCAGTGGAAAAAGGATATTCTTTTCAACAAATAATACTGGAGCAATTAGATATCTATATGGGAAAAAAATGAATGCCAATCCATATCTTGTACCATATGCAAGAATTAAATCATACACTTAAATGTAAAACTTAAAACTATAAAACTTCTAGAAGAAAACCTTTGCAGTCTTCACTTAGACAAAGACTAGTCATTTAAACCTTTTCAAAAATAAACTTACATGCTTCAAAACACACTGTTAAGAGAATAAAAGGTAATCCTCAGAGTGGGAGAAAATATTTGGAAGTCATTTATCTGATAAAGTACTTGTGTCCAGAGTATTTTAAAAACTCTCAAAACTCAGCAATAAAAAACCTAATTTTTAAATATGTGCAAAAGACTTTTACAGATACTTAACCAAATAAGATAAACAGATGGCAGATAGACTTATAAAAAGACGTTCCACATTATTAGTCATTTGTGAAATGCAAATTAAAATCACGAGATGCCACTCCACATGTATTAAAATGCCTGAAGTTAAAAAGACAATACCAAGTCTTGTTGAAGATGTGCAACAGGAATGCTCATACACACTGTTGGGAATAGTACAACTGATTTGGAAAACAGTTTGGCAATTTCTTAAAATGCTAATGTAGAGGCCAAAGCAACTCCATCTTGGATGCTAATTCTCTATGTTAACTTCTGATTATCCCCACTTCCAGAAAAGCCTCTAAGATTTCCAGTTTGACTCATTCCTTGTATAAGAGCACTACTTACTATAAATACTGTCCATAAATCAAAACAACCTTGATGTTATCATTCTTGCCATATATTCTGCCCGTAAGCCGTTATCTTACACATTCCTTCTGAAGCACCTTTCTCTATACTACAAAAACCCTGGGTCTGGTGGATAATGGTGGGGATCCACCATCTTGTCTCACTTCCTGAGACACAGTCATGGCTTCTGTTGGTAAGTCCCTATTAAATATTTGTTTCTAAGAAACTGGGTATGCCAGCCTCTTTCTTTGGCCTCTCAGCTTTCTCGGACGTTTGGGGGAAGGTTTGTACAGGCCTGTCTACTGAAGAACAGTTAAACATATACCTACCATCATATCTAGTCACTCCAATTTTAGGAGTGGCAGAAGGGAGCTGAAAACATGTCCATACAAAGACCTGTACATGAACAGTCATTACAGCTTTATTTGTAGGAGCCCCAAAATGGAAACAACCCACATGTCCACCAACAGGCAAACAGATAAACTCTCACACATTGTCAGTGGTAATAAAAAGTAGTATAGCCACTTTGGAAGACAGTTTGGCAGTTTCTTACAAAGTTAAACATACCATATGTTTCAGCAGTAACGTTCCTGTGTATTACACTAGGAAAATTAAAGCTTATGTTTTACATCAAAATCTGTACTTAAATATTTATAGCAGCTTTATTTATAATTGCTTCAAACTAGGGACAACACAAATGTACTTCAGTGGGTGAATGGATAATGAATTCTAATACATTCACATTGTGGAATAAAAAATACAGGAATAAAAAATTACAAACTACTGATGTGCACAACATAGATAATCTCAAATGCATTGTGCTGAGTAAAATAAATCAGAAAAGAAAACGCCACATACTATATGATTCAATGTATATGATATTGTGAAAAAGGCAGAATTTTAATTATGAAAAACAGATGAGGCTGGGTGCAGCGGCTCACTCACCTGTAATCCCAGCACTTTGGGAGCTTGAGGTAGGTGGATCACCTGAGGTCAGGAGTTCCAGACCAGCCTGACCAACATATTAAAACCCTGTCTCTACTAAAAATATAAAAAAATCACCATGCATGGTGACACATGCCCATAATTCCAGCTACTCAGGAGGCTGAGGCAGGAGAATTGCTTGGACCTGGGAAGCGAAGGTTGCAGTGAGCCAAGATCATGCCGTTGCACTCCAGCCTGGGCAGTAAAAGCAAAATGCTGTCAAAAAAAAAAAAAAGAAAAGAAGAAGCCAGATGATATAAATCTGTGTTTAGAAACACCCTGTGTTCATCTCTATCATCTACCGTGTCTCCTTATTGTTTACTGTGTCCCTTATCAGTTTACTGTGTCCCTTATTAACCTATTACCTAGGACTAAAGTTTAGCACAGTGGTTGGTATACAGCCAGCACTCCATAAATTCTTATTGCTTGCAGAATTGCCTTGACCTGGGCCATGCACTTAGAGAATGCTTCTGGGTCTCTGCCAGGCTCTTTCCTCTGCAAAAAATGAGTAACCCATGGGGCTAAGGAGAAATGCTCACCCAAAGCCTAGTTTCCCTCTTCTGGAGTCTAGACCATGTTCAGGGTCCCTATACCCCTGGAAATGACACCATGGCCTGCATGAACCTTTCTCAGCTTTCTCCTGAGGGCAGACCCAGCTGCTAATGTGAGCACTCCTAGATCTGAAAGGTGGCCAAGGCAAGGCTGTTTTCACAGGTATCAGCAGAAGCTGTTTGTCGCTTGGAGTATCAGGATGGCATGGAAGACTCCTGGTAGGGAATGTGGGTGGGTGCCAGAAAAAACGGGGGCTCATTTTTCCCCACATTGCCATATTCCAGCTGTGTTTCCAGGTATTCTAAGGAGTCTAGGAATTCTGAAAAGGAACCTGGCTTTCTACATCATTATAAGGGTTTATTTGTCAGTGTAGGAAAACAGACTATATTTAACTTAATAATTTGTCATTTGATTTATAACTAAAATATTTAAACATATGGTATGGGGGATCCATTTGTACTCTTCCCCAGGGCCTGCAAATATTAGGAGCTGGCCTGACCAAAGGAAACTAAAGATTACAAAAACAGTTGACCTTATTTTGTGGTTATAGAGGGTACATTTTATGAAATTACTGCCACAGAGTTGACGGGGCGCCTTTTCTTCAAGCCACACAGAACGCATGTTCAGCGGTGTAATTTGATTGTAATCTCTCTTTGTTTCACTTTGCTCATAATGACTCTTTTAGGATTTTCTCAGGTAACAATTTTATTGCAGTGTTCAATAATCCAAACAGAAAATTCTCTCACTTCATCCGGCTCTCATGCTAGGTTCACACCACGAATTGGCTTATCTCTGCTCTAACCATTTCCTCCACCAGAGCTCAAGGGAAACAGGCACCGCGCTGGGAAATGGTTAGGCCCCACTGTCCCCAAGCAAGGGCTCAGGTGAGTTATCAGGCTGGAGAGACCATTCGGGATTCTACCCTGGGTTCCTGAGAACCTGAGATCTGCAGGGAGTCGCGAGGCATCCGGAAACCCCCGAGACTTAGGAGGCAGACCCCCGCCCTCAGACGCTCCTCTAGGAGACGCTACAGTAGAGGGGAATCCTGGGACTCAAGGGGGGAGCCGCGGCACCGAAGGTAGGATCACAAGTTTTGCTCACCTGGCCCGGCGGCGTTACGTTGCCTTAGTAACCACAACTTCCGGCCGAAACAGGAAGTTCGCGCTGTGACTCTTCAGAAGGGGCGCGCGTCCCCTCGGGGGCGGAGAGACTCAGCTCCGCCTGCTCAGCCGTGAACCTGGGACCTGCCCTTCCCTAGGGATCCCGCGGGCCCCAGAGAACCCACGCCTGAGCCCGGTGCGACTCGTGGCCGTGGGCGAGAAGCCATGGACGCCTTTACCCGCTTCACCAACCAGACCCAGGGCCGGGACCGACTCTTCAGGTGAGTCCGGTGCCGGCGGCCTCCGCCCCTTTCTCACACTAACTCGGTGCCCCGATGCCCTGGAAGGAGGAGGTGACAGCCTACGAGGTGGAAGCAGGAAGGACGTTGCCAGCTCCTACGGGGGCAGTTTAGTATTCGAGCCCTTCCTCACTCTAAATTCAGCGGGGCTAGGCTCGACCCCCTGCGACGTCCTAGCCTCGTGCACAGAAGCCCCAGGGCCCGGCACCCCGAACGCCTCGAGACCGTCCGCCCCGTGACACCGGGGGCCAGATTCTTCTCCCCTCCCAGCTTTAATCCCCGGGCAGAGAAAGACTGGGTTCTCTCCACTCAACATTCTTCGCCGGGATCGCCTTTATTATTTATTTATTTATTTAATTTCTTGAGAGGGAGATTCGCTCTTGTTGCCCAGGCTGGCGTGCAAAATCTCCTTTAAAAAAGAGAAACTCTGGGTTAGCATTTATGGCCAGAGAAGCAAACCACGTGCTGTGGCTTCAAATACCTCTTTTTTTTTTTTTTTTTTTTTTTTTTTTTTGAGACAGAGTCTGGCTCTGTGGCCCAGGCTGGAGTGCAGTAGCGCCATCTCGGCTCATTGCAACCTCCGCCTCCTGGATTCAAGCGATTCCCCTGCCTCAGCCTACCGAGTAGCTGGGATTATAGGTGGCTCCCGCCACCACGCCTGGCTAATTGTGTTTTTAGTAGAAACGGGGTTTCACCATGTTGACCAGGTTGGTCTTGATCTCCTGACCCCAGGTGATCTGCCTGCCTCGGCCTCCCAAAGTGCTGGGATTACAGGCACGAGCCACTGCGCCTGGCCTCAAATACGTCTTGAAATGTTTGAGGAGAGACGGAAGTTTTATCTTCTTTATCTTCCATTATTGCCCAGTCTGTATCAGTGACAAACTGCATGTGGAATAGTTTTGTATATTGTAAAACAAAATAAAGCAGAGATGAGACCACACCAACTGGATTGGGGGCGGGGGGTGAATACATTGGGGAGAAGCTCAGAAAGAACTAACTGCACCTCTAAGGTTCATGCTGTGCTACTGAAAATATTCTTTCTTTTCTTTTTCTTTCTTTCTTTTTTTTTTTTTTGAGACGGAGTTTCACTCTTGTTACCCAGGCTGGAGTGCAATGGCGCAATCTCGGCTCACCGCAACCTCCGCCTCGTGGGTTCAGGCAATTCTTCTGCCTCAGTCTCCTGAGTAGCTGGGATTACAGGCACGTGCCACCATGCCCAGCTAATGTTTTGTATTTTTAGCAGAGACGGGGTTTCACCATGTTGACCAGGATGGTCTTGATCTCTTGACCTCGTGATCCACCCGCCTCAGCCTCCCAAAGTGCTGGGATTACAGGCTTGAGCCACCACGCCCGGCCGTGCTACTGAAAATATTCAACAGAGATTGTGTCTTTTTTTTTCTTTCGGTTCCTTAAGAACCAAAAAGAACTGACAGATTGTATCTTTAATACAAATACAGTACTAGTTCATGATGTTTTAGAGATTTCGTTGGTTCTTGCTTAATTAAAAAATAGTTACAGTTGCAGTTTTATTTAACAGCTCTTCCTTCTCTTCTGGGTCTGCAAGTGCTAATACCAATTATACTGGTACCAATAATCTGGCTTTTGGAAGCCTTCTTTCTGCCACGTATTAGTCTTGGAGTTTTGCAACTATGAACTCTAACCCTCATCACAACGCTGTGAGATAGATATTCTAAATATTCTCCCCATTTCAGATGGAGAAACTGAAACAGAAGGAGGTTAATCGTACTAAACGGCAGAACTGAGAGATTCCCATCCATGCAGTTGACTCCAGGGCCTGCTTAACTACCAGGCTATACTGGCTTTCTCATTCGTTAGACAGGTTTTTAAAGTGGTTGCTTTATATTCAAGCTTCATTAAATAGAAACTTCCTTAAATAAAAACCTGTAATTCCAGTATACCCAGAACATAGCCTGCAAGGTTTATCAAGGAGGTTGATTTAAAAAAAAAAAATCATTTAGGCTGGGTATGGTGGCTCATGCCTGTAATCCCAGCACTTTGGGAGGCTAAGGCTGGTGGGTCAGGAGGTCAGGAGTTCGAGACCAGCCTGGCCAACATGGTGAAACTCCATCTCTACTAAAAATACAAAAATTAGCTGGGCATGGTGGTGTGCACCTGTAATCCCAGCTACAGGGGAGGCTGAGGCAGGAGAATCACTTGAACTTGGGGGGCAGAGGTTGCAATGAGCTGACATCATGCCACTGCCTTCCAGCCTGGGTGACAGAGTGAGACTCTGTATTGGAAAAAAAAAATCATTTAAGATATGTTTATTATGCCCGGTGCGGTGGCTCACCCCTGTAATCCCAGCACTTTGGGAGGCTGAGGTGGGCAGATCACCTGAGTTCAGGAGTTCAAGACCAGCCTGGCCAACATGGTGAAACCCCTGTCTCTAGTAAAAATACAAAAATTAGCTGGGTGTGGTGGTGTCTGTAATCCCAGTTACTCGGGAGGCTGAGGCAGGAGAATCTCTTGAACCTGGGAGGCAAAGATTGCAGTGAGCTGAGATCACACCATTGCACTCCAGCCTGGGCAACAGAACAAGATTCCATCTTAAAAAAAAAAAAAAAAAGATACATATTTATCGCACAAGATCTGAGACCTCTAGTGTCTGTTTCCAACCTCCTTGATGATCTGTATAACCTTTATGACCACACTGGCATTCATAAAATAATACCGTGCTTTCTGTGCCAGTAATGCTCACACAAACATGATGAACATTTCTAAAACCTGCTGCACTTTCTGTAAGAAGTGTGGCAAGCCCCAGCTCCACAAAGTGACAGTACAAGAAGGGCAGGGGTTCTCTGTATGCCCAGGGACAGTGGCGTTATGACAGGAAGCAGAGTGGCTCTGGTGGGCAGACTAAGCCGATTTTTCTGGAAAAAGGCTAAAACTACAAAGAAGATTGTGCTAGGCCAGACGTGGTGGCTCAAGCCTGTAATTCCAGCACTTTGGGAGGCCGAGGCGGGTGGATCACGAGGTCAAAAGATCAAGACCATCCTGGTCAACGTGATGAAACTCCGTCTCTAATAAAAATACAAAAAATTAGCTGGGCATGGTGGCGCGTGCCTGTAATCCCAGCTACTCAGGAGGCTGAGGCGGGAGAATTGCTTGAACCCAGGAGGCGGAGGTTGCGGTGAGCCGAGATCATGCCATTGCACTCCAGCCTGGGTAACAAGAGTGAAACTCCGTCTCAAAAAAAAAAAAGAAGATTGTGCTAAAGTTTGAGTGTGGTGAGCCCAGTGCAGATCTAAGAGAATGCTGGCTCTTAAAAGATGCCAGCATTTTGAAATGGGAGGAGATAGGAAGAGAAAGGGCCAAGTGATCCAGTTCTAAGTGTCATCTTTTGTTTTATAACAAAGACAGTAAAATCTTGAGTTTATGTTCACTTCAAAAATAAATAAATAAAATAAAATAATATAATGGTTTGTTGTTGGCCTGACCCCTATTATTAGACCAAAACACAGAAAGGGAGAGTCACTGACGTCACTAGCCCTCTAGCCAGGAAGCAGACTTAAAAAAGGGAAAGCGACTGATGATTCCAGTCTTCTCTTTTTATTTCATTCTTAGTAACAAGTTCACTATTTTGGAAAATGGAAAATGTACCACATTTTTATTGAGAATAATATTAATAGCATAAAGGGATTCTAATTTACTTATAAGACAGTAGGAACCAGACATCTACGTTATTAGTAGACTGTCAAGTGAATTTGGATGTGTGACTGTGATATAAAATTTCTCATACATTTATGTTTATCAGTAAGCCATTGTTATTTATAAGCATGACAAAAATCACTTTATCAAATATGTAGTATTATTCAACAGGATTCTGACTGTATTTTATATAAAATATGAATGAATTTTGAAAGACAACTATGAAAACATTTATACTAATTTATGTACTGGTGTATATTTGGTCCTTTCGTTTATGAGAAATTAAGCAATCTTCAGACTGTGGACTTTTCATTTGATTCTGGTTTGAGTTTGTGTGCTGTCACATAAATGGTAGGTTAAGTACATGGTAGAAAGTTCATTTGGAAATCCGAAAATCAGGCTGGGCACGGTGGCTCACACCTGTAATCCCAGCACTTAGGGAGGCCAAGGCGGGCATATCACAAGGTCAGGAGTTGGAGACCATCCTGGCCAACATAGTGAAACCCCGTTACTGCTAAAAATACAAAATTAGCCAGGTGTAGTGGTGCACACCTGTAGTCCCAGATACTTGGGTGGCTGAGGCAGGAGAATCACTTGAACCTGGGAGGCGGAGACTGCAGTAAGCCAAGATTGTGCCACTACATTCCAGCCTGGCGACAGAGCAAGACTACATCTCAAAAAAAAAAAAAAATCTGAAAATCATTCTACACTGGGGAAGAAAAAAAGCACAGATCTTTGCAGACTTAACATGAGGGAGATTTTTGTGCAGTTTCCCACTTTGACTATATCCATTTCTCTGTGCCAGCAAAAGGCCTTTTGGAGTTTATTGCAGAGTTTGCCTTCATTACCTTTGTGTTCATTTCCGTGACATGTTCTGCCCTTTGGCTCTCCTGTGGAATGACTGTTGCAGAATTTTGCTTTTGTAAGAGTTGCTACATGAGAAATTGTCTTGGAAATGTTGTCTTCAGGCGTGTCTCTTTCCCTTACTTCATGAATTAAGTTTTATTTGATTTGTAAATCATTATTCTCAATTCTTTTTCCATTTCAGAGCCACTCAGTACACATGCATGTTGCTTAGATATTTGTTAGAGCCTAAAGCTGGCAAAGAGAAGGTGGTAATGAAGCTCAAGAAACTGGAGTCCAGTGTGAGCACTGGCCGTAAATGTAAGTACCCTGTTTCTTGAGGGAGAGTGGCTCCTGGTTTAGAATCTTCAGCCTCAGACTCTGTAATTCATGGAGTAATTTATAGGTCATTAATTTCTAGTCAATCAAGTTTATTGATGAAATTGACCAGTAAGGCTGCTCTCATGGCACAGCAGGTTTGAACGTGTTGCTGCAGACCATCATAAACACCCTCTTCTGTTCACACCTGGTGCTACACCTTATCTTCCCGCTTAGTCATATCAGTGGGACATACACCGTGTTCATTCACCTTTAGTTCTTAGACTCACAGTATGTTTAGCATCCTCTGACATGAGCTTCTGCTCTTGTGAACCCCTTTGTTCTAAAGAAGAGTGTAATTGTGGCCGGGCGCGGTGGCTCACGCCTGTAATCCCAGCACTTTGGGAGGCCGAGGCGGGTGGATCACGAGGTCAAGAGATCGAGACCATCCTGGTCAACATGGTGAAACCCCGTCTCTACTAAAAATACAAAAAAATTAGCTAGGCATGGCGGCGCGTGCCTGTAATCCCAGCTACTCAGGAGGCTGAGGCAGGAGAATTGCCTGAACCCAGAGGCGGAGGTTGCGGTGAGCCGAGATCGCGCCATTGCACTCCAGCCTGGGTAACAAGAGCGGAACTCCATCTCGGAAAAAAAAAAAAAAAAAAAAAAAAAAAAAGAAGAGTGTAATTGTTATATCCTAGACCACCTGCCTTTTTCCTTTCTTGAGGAGTGCTAGAGGATGTATAGGTGGATACAGTTTCATAGACCCTTTGTGAGGTATGTTTATGTTAAAGGTAAAAAGTGAAGTCAATAATTTGTGCTTATTTAGTTCACTTTATCAATACATCATCTTGGGAAATCCAGTACTTCTCATAGCAGCTGCCCTTCTGACTCCTTGTTGTTTGATGAAAACTAGACGTTGCTGTAGTCGGTTAGCAGAGGCATTAGAATGGAATGAAGAGCACCACATATTGATCATTTGGTTTTGAGCACCTATGTCATATAGATACATTCCTCAGCCTTATGGGAGAAGTAAGGTGCTTTAAATAATCACATATAAGATTTAGTGCCAAATTTGTTGGCTGGAGTAGAGGAAAAGAAAGGTCTTGAGAAGGAGGTGGAACTTAAGATGTGACTAGAGAGAAGGAAGGAGAGTTTCAAAGGGCAGTTTCCTCTAGTAAAGGCTCAGAACTCTTCTGAGCAAACTATTGTAAGGGAGGATTATCTACGGAACTAGCTTGACAGAGAGAAGATTTAAAATGTCAAGCAGAGGGAAGGGTGGGGCAAGATTTTCTGGATGGCATTGAGGGCCAAGATTAGAAATTCTATTTAGATTATTTAGAATATTGCAGCTCAAAGGTCCTTTAGAGGTCACTGGTCTTTAAATCCAGAAGAGGTCCAGGGTCATTGAGCCAGTTAGTGCAAGAGCCAGAACTGGAACCCAGAATCTATGTACTAAAAATGGTCATTACATATACTACTTTACTATTTTATGTTATTTTTGATAACATAATACCAAATCTTCTTCTTCTTCTTCTTTTTTTTTTTTTTTGATTTGGAGTCTTTGTTGCCCAGGCTGGAGTGCAGTGACACGATCTTGGCTCACTGCATCCTCCATATCCCTGATTTAAGCGATTCTCCCACTTCTGTCTCTAGTAGCTGGGACTACAGGTGTGTGCCAATACACCTTGCTAATTTTTGGTTTTTGTTTTTTTTAGTAGAGACAGGATTTCACCATGTCGGCCAGGCTGGTCTCGAACTCCTGACTTCAGGTGATCTGCCCACCTTGGCCTCCCAAAGTGCTGGGATTACAGGCGTGAGCCTCTTCTGAGATGATATCAGTTTTCTGAGAGTAGCTACTGAGCGCTGAGTGCCTTCTGAGTCTAAGGTGTGATCCTTCAAGGCAAAGTACTTCTTTTGTATCCTTCATGATGTTTAGGACTAGAACTCTTTCTCAGAAGGTGTTCAGTCAGTACCTGTTGATTGATACATCCCTGATGAATTACACGCTCACATAAGGACATGCCATTGCAATGGTTGATTTAATTCAGCCAGGAGGTCTGTGACAATATTATTAATTGTCCTATCTATTAAATTCCGTCATCTCTACTTTATTTTCTTGATAGTAGGTAGCCAAAAGGGGCCTGGACCAGATAAATGGCAAAATGATAATAGTATGTTTTAAAAAGACAGTCTTTTGTCTGGAAAATAAATAAAATATAAGGCATCAGACTCTCCAAGAGAGTACTGCATCTGGATTCATGTTATAGTACCTTCCTTCTAAAGAAGTGTAGCTGGTAAATAATCAAATATAACAATCCACACTCATGATTGACCCTGCCTGGAGTATGCTATCAGTCAACATTAAGGTGTTCATTGCAGTGGAGGAGGTAAATTTAAAGAGTCACTGTATTTTTTGCCTTCCAGGATCATTTTAGGTGTCTTTAATGTACTGTTTATCTTTTCTGAACAAGAGCTGAGCCTTGAATGACCATCAGTTGTTAAAAAAAACCAGTGCTAAGCTGGGCATGGTGGCTCATGCCTATTATCCCAACTACTCTGGAGGCTGAGGTGGGAGGATTGCTTGAGCCCAGGAGGTTGAGGCTACTGTGAGCTGTGATGGTGCCACTGCACTCCAGCCTGTGTTACAGAGCGAGACCCTGTCTCAACAAAAAACAACGAAAAGCTGGTTCCTCACCCTGATACAGGGATTCTACCTTCCCATTGTGTACTGATGAAATAACTGTTCACTATTGTGGGTTCTACTTGCAGGGTTCAGACTAGGCAATGTGGTACATGCTGTGCAGGCAACCGAGCAGAGCATTCATGCCACTGACCTGGTACCTCGCTTATGCTTAACACTAGCCAACCTGAACCGTGTGATTTATTTCATCTGTGACACCATCCTCTGGGTGAGGAGCGTAGGTCTCGCTTCTGGCATCAACAAAGAGAGATGGCGAACAAGGGCTGCCCGCCACTACTACTATTCTCTTCTGCTGAGTCTGGTCAGGGATCTGTATGAAATTTCCCTGCAGATGGAACAAGTTATACATGACAAGGCAAAGAAAGAGAAATCAGCATCCCAGGATCCTTGTGGGTACAGCGTGGCTGATGAAGAAACAGAATGGCTCCAGTCCTTTCTACTTCTCTTATTCCGATCTCTGAAGCGTCATCCTCCCTTGCTCCTGGACACAGTGAAGAACCTCTGTGATATCCTGAACCCTTTGGACCAGCTGGGGATCTGTAAGTCCAATCCGGGCATCATTGGACTTGTAGGTCTTGTGTCCTCTGTAGCAGGCATGATCACTGTGGCGTATCCTCAGATGAAGCTGAAGACCTGTTAGGGTGTTTGTAGGCTCGGAACTGGTACCTACTTTAAAAGATGGCCTCTTAGTGGGATAGACATTTGTGTAAGTCACAGGCCATGTCACACTGCTTACGTTCTTGTTCATGTGAGCATTTAGCAACCTGCAATGTGTGCAGAGGTGAGGCCAAGAACAGAGAAGGGAGGAACATGAAGAGTGGAATGTTTTTGGAGTGCTGGAGTGACTTGTGAATTTCTGAGTGTTTCCCCTTCATCTAACATTGATTGAACATCTCTTATGCACATAGTAGGAGTTTAGTATTTGCTGGATGAATAAAAATTGAAAAGAAAAAATTTAAAAAGACCCAATCACACTGATCATTGAGGACTAGTATACAGTAACTTCAGGGTTATGTGGCTCATTGGTGTCACAGGATTACGGCAGGTCTGGTGCACAGCGCTCTCAGATCTAGTGGAGGCTCTGGTGTCAGCAGCAGGATGAAGAGCTGCGCTTACAGCCTCCCAATTTGTTCGCCCTTACCATCACTGCACCATGTCCCTGCTCAGTCCAGAAGGCGAATCAGAAAAGCATCAGGCACCTTCATGGTATAAATTGTGTCTGTGGGTGCAGTGAATAAGCAAAAATCAGGAGCAGACAGGAGGGACTCGTAGAAATAGGTAGAGCAGGCGTCCCCAAACTACGGCACACGGGCCGCATGCGGCCCCCTGAGGCCATTTATCCGGCCCCCCGCCGCACTTCAGGAAGGGGCACCTTTTTCATTGGTGGTCAGTGAGAGGACGCCTGAGGTAGAGGTTCACGGTGGGTACCTATATGTAGCCTGTGACAGATAAGAGGCTGACAGTGAAACAAACAAAAGACAACTGAGGCTAGAGCCTTATTCCTCTGACAATAGACTCCTAATCCAGCCAAAAACAACTGAGGCCATAGCCTTGTTCCTCTGACTCCTAATCCAGTGTTCTTTCCATGCATCCCACTTTCTTATTGAGTAGAAATGTTTTCCCCTCCTGAATCCTGTTTTTTGCCTCTTACTGTCTCATGATTTAGAAACTTCCTTGTCCAGTGGTTTATATTCTTTCCTAAACAAAACTAGATGGAGTGTGATGGCTCACGTCTGTAATCCCAACACTTTGGTAGGCTGAAGCAGGAGGATTGCTTGAGGCCAGGAGTTCAAGACCAGCCTTAGCAATACAGTGAGACCCCATCTCCACAGCAGAGTGTTAAAAAATTAGCCAGGCATGGTGGTGGATGCCTGTAGTCTCAGTTATTCCGGAGGCTGAAGCAGGAGGATCGCCTGAGCCCAGGAGTTAAAGGCTGCAGTGAGCTTCCACTGCACTCCAGCCTGGGTGATACAGCTAGATGCTGTGTCTTAAAAAAAAATTAAAACAAGCCGGGCGCGGTGGCTCAAGCCTGTAATCCCAGCACTTTGGGAGGCTGAGGCGGGCGGATCACGAGGTCAAGAGATCGAGACCATCCTGGTCAACATGGTGAAACCCCGTCTCTACTAAAAATGCAAAAAGTTAGCTGGGCATGGTGGTGCGTGCCTGTAATCCCAGCTACTCAGGAGGCTGAGGCAGGAGAATTGCCTGAACCCAGGAGGCGGAGGTTGCGGTGAGCCGAGATCGCGCCATTGCACTCCAGCCTGGGTAACAAGAGCGAAACTCCGTCTCAAAAAAAAAAAAAAAAAAAATTAAAACAGTATTTAGACTTATCAGCTAGATTGTTTTATTTAAAGCCTAATAACAACTTGGGCAATTCTACATTAATTTCCATCAGAGTTTATCCAGTCAAAAAAATGTCATTAATACTCTAGATCTAAGAGGGTCCCAATGTTCTCTGGTAAATCAGACGTCTTATTTGTAGTGTGATTGAGGGAGGTGGAAAGAGCAGGAGGAAGCCAGTGAAGAGGACACTGGAGTGCTGGGTGATTGACATTGACTCGTGTTCCTGTCTCCTATCTTGGGTGTGAGTTCTTATATGTGGTTACAGATCCTTCAGTTTGAGGGAGGTGAGGTGGAGTGATAGGATGCCAGCAGGTGGGGGGCTGATGTCAGTCCTCCCAGCAAAGCCATCTCATTTATCTGAATGGAAGCGAGAAAATAAGTATGTACTCAACAAGTACAATTTCCCAGATATGTGATTGAGATTCTCAAAAAATAGGCTCCGATTCTTGGCTGTCTGTTTAACCAATCAAGATACGGGATTTGAGAAATAAAATTTTGGTACTTTTAAGAGAAATGAAACTAGATCAGGACAAAGAAAAAGCTTAGATAACTGTTTTTATTGTCCAGATCCTCTACTGTAATAGATTAATTATGTTCAATAAATTTCTAGACAAAATTGACTGTGTCTGAGTGTGTTCTGGGAATAGAGAGGAGTTCAACGTAAGGCAATCCAGCAGGTAATCCTCAGTCAGCCTGCACAGTTGGTACAGGGAGCTCTGGGCTGGAAGATCTGGGCTGCGGAGGAGGATGGAGAAGGATGGAGATGAAGAGCCTCTGGGTGGAGAGGGACCTCTGAAAGCTCATCTAGACTGCTGCCGTGGAGAGGGTGTCTTACAGTGGCTCTGTCAATGGCTGGCTGGCTTCTGCCTGTATGTCTGCCTTGACCTCGTGGTGGCATGTTATGTTACGGTGGTATCCATCATGGGACTTTTGTCCTCTGCAAGTTATGGCGAGTTGCGGGGGAGGCTGGGAAATACTACCTCCTCTAGAGTTCATGTAAACCTTAATGGTGCCCTGGCACCTCCCTGTGAATCATTCTCCCTTCTAACTAACAGTTTCTACCTTCATGAGGGATGCGACAAATCAAAGAAGTTCCTCATAGGTGTACAGCCCAGCGCATTCACAACTGAGCATTGCTGCCTGATAAGTCATTTATTCAATAATGAATGTTAGAGTGCTATGCATGGTTTTGGGGATCCACTTGTGAGCAAGATGACCTAGGTCCCTGCTCTCATGCGGTGGAGGGGTAGGGAGAGCAGGTGGGGATGGAGGAGAGAAAATGGCACTCTACGCCCTGCGAGCTACTGCTAGAAAACTGACTCTTCTGCCTTCCCTCGGGACTCTCCTAGTCCCTTTCACCACTTCTCACCTTTCACCCACATTCTGTAGCCAGAGGACTCATTTAGTTGGCAGCGTTTTTGGGCACAGAGCCCTGGACTCCTCTGGCTCAAAGCCACTCCTCTGAAGGCTGAAAGCCGCCCTTTGGCCTAGGTTGCTGTCCAGTCACAGACTCACAAATGATTTGTGCTGAACCTTGAAGTGAGGGCAGAGGCCACTTCTTTAAATACTTTGTCTTCTCAACTGCCTTACATTTTAAAAGCCCCGGTTGGATCAATAAATATTAAATGTATTAGGAGGCTGAGGCAGGCGGATCATGAGGTCAGGAGATTGAGACTATCCTGGCCAACATGGTGAAACCCCATCTCTACTAAAATACAAAAAATTAGCTGGGCATAGTGGTGCGTGCCTGTAGTCCCAGCTGCTCAGGAGGCTGAAGCAGGAGAATCGCTTGAACCCGGGAGGCAGAGGTTGCAGTGAACCAAGATCACACCATTGCACTCTACCCTGGTGACAGAGTGAGACTCCATCTCAAAAGAATAATAAGTATTAAATGTATCGCACAGTACTCCTCTGAAGCCTCCCTGCTTGACTCCTCCCTTTCCTGCCTTCTCATTCCCTACTTTATTACATCACAGATATAAAATTTATTGCCAAGAATCTATCATAACTGCCCACCCCCACCTCTTTCTTCTCTTGCCCACAGTGTTCGAATTAGCAGAGTCAACAATGCATATAATTCCACCAGCAACAAGGAAAATAAGCTTTGTTTTCCTGTTGTCCGTTTTCATGAGGTCCTTAGATCATCTGAAAGCTATGGCTTACACCATAGTCCTCCATCATCTCTGAAGCCAGGGAGTAGATCTTGGGCTTAAGTCCGGGCTAAAGAAGGGTTGAGAAGTGCTAGTTCTTGGTTGTCTGGGTGCTGTTGATTGGTGAAAGGATCTTAGTCAACACTGTCACTTATCCAGACTTACGAGCACAAAATCGACTTGGCTCTCCCACTCCTCATCCTGGTAGCATCTTAGGCCAGGTAAAATCAATACATTTTTTTGAACTCTAGGAAGTGGAAATTCCTCCCTCAAAGGCTATATTGTCAAAAATTCAACTCCCAGCTCTATCGCTTCTTCATTGAGAGCAATTTATCTCCGTAATCAAAGATGAGTACGTTCAGATGAACTCTTCTGTGTGGGGTTAAATCTTACTATTCAAGGCTCATGGCTTGCCGTGGCTCATACCTGTAATTCTAGCACTTTTGGGAGGCCAAGGCGGGCGGATTACCAGAGATCAGGAGTTTGAGACCACCCTGGCCAACATGGTGAAACCCTGTCTTTACTAAAAATACAAAAACTAGCTGGGCATGGTGGCAAGCGCTTGTAATCCCAGCTACTCAGGCTGAGGCAGGAGAATTGCTTGAACCTGGGAGGTGGAGGCTGCAGTGAGCGGAGATCCCACCACTGTACTCCAGCCTGGGTGACAGAGCGAGACTCTGTCTCCAATAATAATAGTAACAAAATTTTAAAAAACTTACTGTTCAATATTCACTCTTGCTGGTAAATAAGAAAAGATGAGAGAAATGAATTGAAAACTGTCCCACAAGACCCTATATGAAAAAGGAGTCAAAGGATTGCAGAAGTATATAGAACTTTAGAGCTTTTAAGTCTAACAACATATATCCCAATACCTTCTTTCTGGAAAGCAGATTTTTGTGAATTGAGAGCAGAAACATTACAAAGCTGATGCTTCATGGCTCTGGAATAATAAGTCCTCTGAGCCTGGATATCCTTCAGCTCTGCCACCTACCTCCTTGTTTGCTAAATGTCCTTAGAGAAGTTAGGATATGCCTGGGGAACCCTGGGTCAAATAACCATGACAACTGGCTGCCCCTGCTTTCTCTTGGTCTCCGCCCTCCTCTAGCTGGGAGGCGTTAGAAGCATTGCCCAAGACTCCCTGGGGTGATAGGAATTGTTTCTGCCTGAGGTGACACTCGCAGCCTGGGCTCTGTGAAGCTGAGGTGGCAGTCAGCTAGAGTGCGTGTTGGGGTTCTGGGGCGTCTGCCTTACCTGGCTTGTTTATGAGCATTAAAGGGACGAGGTTGCAGGTAAGGGCCTCTTGGGAACGTTGCTGGGGATGAAAAACAGCAGGGAAACTGCTGAGGGAGAGTGACGGGAAGTATAGAGTAGCTATTCTGGGGCTACTGTCTTTTCCAGAACACAGATATATTGGCTTAGAAATAGAGGAATTGGAGAGGCACAGTGGATCACGCCTTTAATCGCAGCACTGCAGCTGGCCAAGGCAGGAGTTCAAGACCAACCTGGGCGACATAGTGGGATTCTGTCTCTACAAAAAAATAAGAATTAGCCCTGCATTGTAGCGCATGCCTGTAGTCCCAGCTACCTGGGAGGCTGAGGTGGGAGGGTTCCTTGATCCCAGGAGGTTGAGGCTGCAGTGAGCCGTGATCATGCCAGCACACTCGATCCTGAGCAACAGATCAAGACCCTGTCTCAAAAAAGAGATAGGGACAGGGGAAGAGGGGAAGAGACAGAAATAGAAGAATTAACCCAGAGCCTTTTCAAAGATGAAACCTGAAACGTGTTTTGTTTAATATTTATTTTGAGATGGGGTCTCACTATAGTGTCCAGGCTGGTCTCACGCTCCTGGGGTCAAGCCATTCTCCCACGTCAGCCTCAGTAGCTGGGATTACAGGTGCTTGCCAATGCACCCAGCTTGAAACTTGTTATTTTAGTCTCTTCTGGACCCGAATTCAAGAGCCTTAAGACTTCATCTAAAACTTTTTATCTCTTAACGGCTACCTGCATTTTTCATTTTCTAACCTGAACTCTTATAAGTAACATCAGTCTTGGCTGGGCGCAGTGGCTCACACCTGTAATCCCAGCACTTTGGGAGGCCGAGGTGGGCGGTTTACTTGAGGTTAGGAGTTCCAGACCAGCCTGGCCAACATGCTGAAACCCCATCTCTACCAAAAATACAAAAATTAATGGGGCGTGGTGGCTCGCGTCTGTAGTCCCAGCTATTTGAGAGGCTGATACAGGAGAATCACTTGAACCTGGGAGGCAGAGGTTGCAGTGAGCCAAGATCATGCCACTGTACTCCAGCCTGGGTGACAGAGTGAGACTCCATCTCAAAAAAACAAAGAAACATCGGTCTTGACAAGTAAGCTGTGGAGCAGCTCACTGCCATGGGATGCTGCAGAGAGGGTCTATTGTGTGACATTCACCCTCCGACCTAATGCCTTCTGTTTGGGGCAAATGGGGTCCCAGGCAGCCTGGGCCTAGTGGGTGGCCATGAGAGGTAGAGAAGGGACCCAGCGGAGCTCAAGCCTGAGGGCTTCTGATGGACCTGGAACTCTCTGATTTGCAGCTTGAAGAGCTAGGATGGCAGTCAACAAAGGCCCCACCTTGCTGGATGGAGACGTCCCTGTAAGTAACTTGGGCATATATGTGACAGGATGGGAGCTGAGAGGGGAGGAAGAAGCAGGGAGGGACATGCAGGGGACTTAGAGCAAGATGTGCCCAGGTTCAAATTCGGCTCCATTGACTACCGTGCCTTAGTGATTCTTGCCCTCACCACCTTGTGTAGGGGGCAGTTGAGGATCTGGAAGAGGAAGAAAAGGTGCCTTTTAAAAGCTAAGCACCTTGGAAACAAGGAGTAGAGATCCTGGCTTGGGGACAGTGGGATGGAGAGGGAGAGAATTACCTGTTTAAACCCTGAGGCAGAAGCCCATGCTCTGCTCACCGCCCAGCTGGATGAGTGTTCTGTGAGCAGCCTCTGCATCCTGTGACTCCAGCGTCATCATTCACATGGCAAACGGCACCTCCCGGAGTGAGACAGTGCACAGCCTATGCTGCTGGGTGGGGAGAGGGTGGGATATTCCCTGTGTCTGGTGTTCTGTCACTGACCTGGTTTTCACTGTAACTTGCAGTGGCTTGATACTTTTAGGAATGTTCGATGCCTCCTGGCAAGGCATCTCAGATTTGGGCACAGTTCAGATAGTAAAACTTAAAAATTATGAACCCAGCCAGGCGCGGTGGCTCACGCCTGTAATCCCAGCACTTTGGGAGGCTGAGGCGGGCGGATCATGAGGTCAGGAGATTAAGACCATCCTGGCCAACATTGTGAAACCCCGTCTCTACTAAAAATACAAAAATTAGCTGGGTGTGATGGCACACACCTGTAGTCCCAGCTACTTGGGAGGCTGAGGCAGGAGAATTGCTTGAACATGGGAGGCAGAGATTGCAGTGAGCTGAGATCGTGCCAATGCTCCAGCTTGGCCACAGAGCAAGACTCCATCTCAAACCTGTACAATATCCACCTTGTCCCAGGCTTTAACTAACACTTGCACTAGGAATCACTTTGTTTTGTATTGAATCATAGAACAGAGAAAAGTGTAAAATAGTCAAGTGCATAGTTAAGCGGTTCTAACAGACGGTGGTTTATTCCCTTCCCAGGATCTCTTTCAGGCTTTGGTTTTGTCTAAAACAACCTCAGAAGCCTCTGTCCAAAGTGTAGAAGAGAATGTTTTCTTGTTTATAGTCATAGTCTAGTTCAAATTTCAAACTCACCGGCAGGATAAAAACCTAAGATATTGTGAGCCACTCTGTCTAGTGTACGCGCTTGATGGGAGTCTTTGAACTCCGCCTCCGACGAACAGAGCAGGCCAGGTCTTCACCTCATGAGCAGAACCATGCTACGGTGTCATGTTCAAAGCTACAGAGAGCCTAAGCATCTGAGTCTGACCTGGGAGTTTTTTTCTTTTTACTTTTGATATAGAGAATTCTCAACATTCGTTAAGAATAGACAGAAAAGAACATAATAAGCCCCACGTACCCTTTATTAGCCCTGACGACCATGAATTCGTGGCCAATCCTGCCTCATCCCCACGTCCATTAATTCCCCCACTTGGTGTTATTTTGAAGCAAATCCCAGGGAGGCCATTTCCAGCTCGAGTTGGAATCCTGGCTCTGCCACTTACCAGCTCTGTGATCTCAGGTGAATCACTTCCCGTTTCTGGTTGTCAGTCTCCTCATGGAGTTAGTGCTGGTGACAGTGCTGGCCTCAGAAGATGGCTGTTAGAGTTGAAGTGAACTCGCCGACCGGGCACAGTGGCTCATGCCTGTCATCCCAGCACTTTGGGAAGCCGAGGCGGGCAGATCATGAGGTCAAGAGATTGAGACCATCCTGGCGAACAGGTTGAAACCTCATCTCTACTAAAAATACAAAAACCAGCTGGGCGTGGTGGCGGGTGCCTGTAGTCCCAGCTACTCAGGAGGCTGAGGCAGGAGAATCACTTGAACCTGGGATGCAGAGGTTGCAGGGAGCCCAGATTGTGCCATTGTACTCCAGCCTGGGTGACACAGTGAGACTCTATCTCTAAATAAATAAATAGGAAAGAACTAAGTGAGCTTGTGTCACTGAGGCACCCAGACCGGTGCCTGCAGCATAGTGGCAACTGGCACATGTTCTTTCCCTCCGCGTGCCTAGAATTCATTCTTTTATTTAGAGACAGAGTCTTGCCCTGTCACCCGGCTGGAGTGCAGTGTCACCATCATAGTTCCCTGCAGCCTCAGCCTCCCGGCCTCAGGCAGGCCTCTCACCTCAGTCTCCCAAGTAGCTGGGACTCTGTAGTCCACATGCCATCAAAAATTATCATGGCCAACTATTTGTGTGTGTGTGTGTGTGTGTGTGTGTATACGTGTCTCAAAGTGACCTCAAACTCCTGGCTTCAAATGATCCTCAGGCCTCAGCCTCCCAAAGTGTAGGGATTACAGGCATGAGCTTCTACATTTAGCCCTAGAATTCAGTCTTTTACTCAAAGACCAGTGTTTTTTCACCAAGGTTCCTGGGTGACTGCTGCCAAAAGATGCGTTACTCACAGCACAGCACAAGAAAAGATGCGTTACTTAACAGCACAGCACAAGAAAAGATGCATTACTAACAGCACAGAAATGAGAAATGATTGTTCTGCTACACCCAGTGTGCTCAGATCACACCCAGAGTGCTATCTTGAGTGCTTTTTTTTGAGATAGGGTCTCATTCCGTCAAACGGGCTGTAGTGCAGTGGCATGATTCTGGCTCACTACAGCCTCCATCTCCCAGGCTCAAGCCATCTTCCCACTTCAGGCTTCTGAGGAGCTGGGACCACAGGCACACAACACCATGCCCTGCTAATTTTTTTGTGGAGACGAGGTCTCCCTGTGTTGCCCAGGCTGGCCTTAAACTCCTGGGCTCAAGCAGGGGTACTATATTTTTAAGAAAGATAATGTAAAACTATAGCATGTCCAGGAGAGGGGGTCACCAGACCACAGTGTGAGCCATTTCAGATTTCAGCTCAGCAAAGCTGTCCAACAAGGGGCGCAGGCCAGTTTACAAGGGGGAGAGCTCTCATTCATGGAGACATTCAAATATAAGTCTTGGCTGGGCACAGGGGCTCACGCCTATAAGCTCAGTGATTTGGGAGGCTGAGGCAGGAGGATCACTTGAGGCTAGGAGTTCAAGACCAGCCTGGGTAACAAAGCAAGACCACCGTCTCTGCAAAATAAAAATATTAGCAAGGCATAGTGTCACATGCCTGCAATCCCAGCTACTGAGGAGGCTCAGGTGGGAGAGAAGGTGAGTGTTCTAGGTTGAGGGAAGGAAGGAAAGTGTTCTAGGCTGTGGGAGGGAAGGTGAGTGTTCTAGGCTGAGGGAAGGAAGGTGAGTGTTCTAGGCTGTGGGAGGGAAGGAAGGAGAGTGTTCTAGGCTGTGGGAGGGAGGGAAGGTGAGTGTTCTAGGCTGTGGGAGGGAGGGAAGGAGAGTGTTCTAGGCTGTGGGAGGGAGGGAAGGAGAGTGTTCTAGGCTGTGGGAGGGAGGGAAGGTGAGTGTTCTAGGCTGTGGGAGGGAGGGAAGGAGAGTGTTCTAGGCTGTGGGAGGGAGGGAAGGAGAGTGTTCTAGGCTGTGGGAGGGAGGGAAGGAGAGTGTTCTAGGCTGTGGGAGGGAGGGAAGGTGAGTGTTCTAGGCTGTGGGAGGGAGGGAAGGTGAGTGTTCTAGGCTGTGGGAGGGAGGGAAGGAGAGTGTTTTAGGCTGTGGGAGGGAAGGAAGGAGAGTGTTCTAGGCTGTGGGAGGAAGGAGAGGGTGAGTGTTCTAGAAAGTGTGGCCAGCATCCACAGGAAGGGTGACAATACCTCAGAAAGACCAGAAAAATGTTTGGAGAAGCCACCAATCAAACCTGGTCAAAAACTCTAGCCAGTAACAGCACTTGCTCTGTAGCAGGCGGTATCAGGGGAGTGATTTGTGCTGGGGGTGGGACGCGACTCAGCCCCTGGTGAACAGAGCTTGCCTGGGCAGCTCTCCAGAATCTGGACGGTGACCAGGAGGACGTGGCAGCTGACTTGTTTTCCCGTGGGTCTTCCGTGCTCTCAGGATTGGGGCATCCAAAGACCTCTTTGTCGTTGGTTCTCCCAGGTCACTTAGAGTCAGGCTAGTCCCCATGACCCTGGGGTCACTTTCCAGGTTCCCAGAGAGGGGAGAGCCACAGCTTTCGTGTGTTCCTTCCACAGCAGGAGCAGGAGAACGTGCTACAGCGGGTCCTGCAGCTGCCCATGGTGAGTGGCACCTGCGAGTGCTTCCAGAAGACCTACACCAGCACCAAGGAAGCCCACCCACTGGTGGCCTCTGTGTGCAATGCCTACGAGAAGGGCGTGCAGAGCGCTGGGAGCCTGGCAGCCTGGAGCATGGAGCCAGTGGTCCGCAGGCTGTCCACCCAGTGTGAGTCCTCGCTGCTCAGCAGCTGCCTGCTTGTTCACTGCCTACCCGACAGTCTATCTGTCCGCCTCTCAGTCTGTCTGACTGTCTGATAACTTGCTTGTGTGTCTGCTTAACTGCCTACCTAGCTGCCTACGTCCCGTTGCATGGTCTTACCTACGGATATAAAAGTATACATATGGCCGGGCGCGGTGGCTCACACCTATAATCTAAGCACTTTGGGAGGCCGAGGTGGGCAGATCACAAGGTCAGGAGTTCGAGACCAGCCTGGCCAATATGGTGAAACCCCGTCTCGACTAAAAATATAAAACTTAGCTGGGTGTGGTGGCAGCCGCCTGTAGTCCCAGCTACTCGAGAGGCTGAGGCAGGAGAATTGCTTGAACCCAGGAGGTGGAGGTTGCAGTGAGCCGAGATCGCGCCACTGCACTCCAGTCTGGTGACAAAGTGAGACTCCGTCTCAAAGAAAAAAAAAAAAGGTATACATACAGATCTGTTTTCATCTATAGGTGCCTGTCTATGGCCCAGCTGCCATGTTCCTAGGAAATAATGATGGCCAGAGAATCTGCAGGGGAAGGGAACGCAGAGCTGTGCAGGCAGCGGTGAGGGTGTGGCAGCACAGGGAGCAGCAGCAAGAACTAGCAGAGTCTGGGAGAGGCAGAGGCAGTGGCACTAGGGGCCCTGGCAGGGCTGGAGGACAGTTCTCCTTGGAGGGAGGGGAAAGCTGGCTGAGTCCAGCAGCTGCTGGTAGCGGGTCTTGACGGGAGGGGGCAGCAGAGAGCCGCCAACCGGGGCCCTGGAGGCAGAAGATGGCTCTCTTTCGGGCCTTGCCAGGTGTGCCCCACTCAAATTGTTCTGCCCCATCTGAACATGTGGTCTCCAAGGCATAGCTCCTGACAGCGCTGAGGGAAACCTCAGTCATGCCAAGAAGTCTAGCACCTTCCACCATCCTAATTAGAGAGTAATGGGATTTGAGGACTCGACGCAGCAAACAGGAGAGGACAGGTGTGAACACAGCAAATGGGAGAGGACAGGTGGGAAGGCCAGCCCTGCCCCTGGCTGCACCTCCTTCAATACTTTCCCTGAGTCTCCTTCTGCCTAACTGGAAGACAGGCAGGTCATCTGGGCTCTCTGCTTGAGCATTTTGTGAAGAAAAATAAAGTATCTGGATAAAGAACACAGGAAAGAGCATAAAGAACTCTCCTCGAAAGCTGTGGTCCCCATGGCCAGGGTTGCAGAGCCCGTGTTGTGGCTGACCTGGGCGGGATCCCCCTGAAGCATGTGCGGCTCTGATGCGTGCCCTCTCTCCAGGGCAACCCTTTCCCTTCCCTGCCACCTTCTTCTGATGGTCAACCATCTCAACACTGGTTCAAAAGAAGGGGATTGGCCGGGCGCAGTGGCTCATGCCTATAATCCCAGCACTTTGGGAGGCCAAGGCAGGTGGATCACGAGGCTAAGAGATCGAGACCATCCTGGCCAACATGGCAAAACCCTGTCTCTTCTAAAAATGCAAAAAATTAGCTGGGCATGGTGGTGCCCACCTGTAGTCCCAGCTACTCGGGAGGCTGAGGCAGGAGAATCGCTTGAACCTGGGAGGTGGAGGGTACAGTGAGCTGAGATTGTGTTGCTGCACTCCAGCCTGGGTGACAGAACAAGAATCCATCTAAAAAAAAAAGAAGGGCATGGGCAGCCTGGGGCCTGCACTGACTGCTGGGAATTTGTCCCACTGGAACTAAGCAGGTTCAGCCCCAAGGCCTGACTGCACCTGCCTGCCTCTCACACCTCTGTTCTCCCTCCTCATGCCACTCGGAGGCCCCCATCCTGGTGGGGAGGGAAGAGAATGGGGGAAAGAACAGTACTTGTTGGTGATTCATTTAGTTCCCATCATTCTTCCTCACAGTGACCCTGCCAGGCAGGCACCATTAATTCACCATAGGAAGCAGAGGCTCAGGCAGGCTGGGGCTTGCTGAGGCCCCGGGCTGCACAGATGTGGGCACTCGGCCTTCTGAGTGCAGGCCTGAACGACTCCAGAGTTCCCCAGCAGACGGAAGAAACCGGCCTGGGTCTCGAGGAGTCCCAGCGGACGTGGGCTAAAGAAGGCAAAGGACCCGGGGCCCAGAGTATGCTGGGAGGCAGCAGGGCCTGGGATGTGAGGGCTCCAGGTCGCTTCCTTGGTGCAGAGGCCACTGCTAGATTCTCATGGTGAGGGGCAGGGCTCACCCAAACCTGGCTCTTTCCTTCCAGTCACAGCTGCCAACGAGCTAGCCTGCCGGGGCCTGGACCACCTGGAGCAGAAGATCCCAGCCCTTCAGTACCCTCCTGAAAAGGTGAGCCCTTCCCACCTCGGGAGCCCCCCGCACTCTAGTCACCCGCTCAGGGAGGAGACGGCAGGGGCTGCTGAGGTGGCGACTGTAGGTCTGTGTCCCACGGCGAGCACCCTCCAAGGCCGGTGGAGGCTGCCTGCTCCCAAGTCCACACCACGGCTCCTCTTCTCTCTCTGAAGCCAGATGGAGGTGGTGTTTTCTGGAAGTTGGGTTTCTGGGACCAGCAGGGCACAGAATCCCAGAGGCAACTCAGACAGATGCTCGAGGCATTCCCACTACTCCCAATGGCCGCCCCTGGGGTCCTGGGGCTCCATAGTCTGCCCTGTACCACTTGGTGACTTGCAGCTGCCTAGGAATCACAGTCACACTCATGAAGACCCCAGGAGTGTTCCATTCCAGTCCTCAAGATCCAACATTTTATAGGGACCATGAGAACTGAGAAGTCACTTTATGTGGCTACATATTCGTTGGGTAGTTGCCTATGATAAGGGCCCCTTTTTGCTGCTTCTGGGGAATAAGCTTCAGTCTCTGACCTCACCTATCTCACTGACCAGCTGTCTATCACTTCCCAAAACATGTGCTGAGCCCTGCTCTGTACCCCCTCATCTATCTCACTGACCAACTGTCTACCCTTCCCGAAAACATGTACTGAGCCCTCCAAGTAGCTACCCTTCCCATGAACACATACAGACCCCACCCTAAGCCCTATCCTAATTCATCTGTCTCACTGGACCAACTATCCACCCTTCCTACCAACATGTACCGAGCCCCTCCCCTATGCCCAGGGCCATTGCCTATGCTTAATCAAGCTCTCACTGAACCCTCATCAATCCTCTGGGATAGGGGGTCATCACCTCCACTTTACAGAGAGGAAACCAGTGTCTTTCCCACAGCCACACAGCCTTAATTGGAAGACCACATGAGAGCAGGTCTGTTTCAGCTGTGAGGTCTATGCTCTCTGCTACACTTTTTTCCAGATAAGGGGCAGGGTTTTTGTCACAAAGGAACTCCCAGGATAATGAAGAGAAGTCAGATGATTTCAATGCAGAACCAGTGAAGATCAAGCCCACCTGTAAATCAATAGAAACGGCGTGTTCTGAGGAAAGGAGGGAGGAGAGTCCCTGTGAGCACGAGGGTGTCAGGACACGGGCCACTAAAGAGGAGCCTTTGGGGTCCATCCTCGCAGGATGGGAGGGATCTTGACAGACAGTGATGCAGTGTGAAGGAGCCAGGAGACCAAGTGGGTGGCACAGGCAGGTTTGGCGCCCTCTCCCTTTAGAGCCCAGCTTAATTCCAGTACCCCAGTATCCAGCACCAGCTCCCTGGGCCTTTAGCTGAGACCTTTCCTGGGAGCTAGGCTCAGGATGGCCAGGCCCCAAAAGGGGTGGCCCTTGTGGGATCTGCAAGACCGCATTGCCTAACCCCCACTTACTCCCCCAGATTGCTTCTGAGCTGAAGGACACCATCTCCACCCGCCTCCTCAGCGCCAGAAACAGCATCAGCGTGCCCATCGCCAGCACTTCAGACAAGGTCCTGGGGCCGATCTGACTGGGTGCGAGCTTGCCTGGGGAGTGGTGCCAGAGAACACTGCGGAAATGTGGCTGGGCCTACAAACCACCCGAGCCTGGCCGGCCTTGGCTTCCGAAGGGGCCGATCTATGGCCTTAGGCAAGCATTGAGAAGGTGGTTGGATGTACCTCTCCCCCCAGGCAGACAGAGTCAGGTACCCACCGTTTGGTAGGCTCGGCCTGGGAGTGAGCTGCTGTCACA